AATCAAGTATGCCCAAAACAACCATTTTCAAGTGCAGGAATGAAATTAAAACAGGACTTTAATATTGATAAAGCACTTTTCAGATGCAGGGCTTATGAGGTCTAATATATAAGCTCCACATCTAAAATTTGAATTATTTAATCACAAAATTCTTTTTAAATTAATAAATAGTAATAGTTAATTCAACCTGAAAAGTTTATCTCGTAATTTAGCTCTGAAAGTTTACAACCTGTCGGCTGAACCAAAAACAATTCTAATCATTCAAGAAAACTTCATTAAAAAACTTAGCGTTCCTGTTTTACTATATGATAACTTTTCTATAGAACTGGATGCAATCAATGACGACGCAATGCTGTACAATGAGCGCTTCTTTTTCACTGAAAGTAAGCTGCAGATTTAAAATGATTTCGTTTTCATCATCGTTATATGGTTTTAAGTGAAAGCGATGCAGAGCAACCTAGTTGAAGCCCTTCGCAAAGGATTGCCGTATCCGATAATCACCGTCATTGAATACATGAGCGTTGACAAAGCCGGGTTCTTATGGGGAAGGGGGTATCGTCTAGCTGGCTACTACACGAATATGCTCTTATGGTAAGATTAAACTGCTTTTTGCAACACATCTGGCAGTACTGGCAAATATTCACCATATGAAGTTTAAAAATAATTGACAATACAAGGGTCTTCGAGGCCAGAAGATAAATTCTATTCCTATAACTTAAATTAGTGACATTCTTTGATATCAGAGTATCACTGATGCATTGAGATGGTTTGTTATTTAGTCCTGCGTATTTCCTTGTCTACGCTACCCTTCCGATAAATTTACACAAAGAAACGTCCATAGCCTATTAGTGCAATTTACTGAAAGCGAATATACGAACTCAGCATCTCTGCAGAATTATTTTGTCTATTACACCAAAAGTATAAGGATCAAATTGGAGGCAGTATTAACGGAGACCCTCTAATCCTTCCATGTCCATTTCATAATTAGAATAACGGACTGCACTGAAATACATAATGGCTTTCTTTCAACCTCAATTCGTTATTTTTGATTTGTTGGCCAACTGCTTCATGGTTCATACTAGATCTTGAAGGCTACTGCACAGGCTCTAGAACGTTTTTCACCACCTGCGCTTAATGCTATTATGTACGCAAACGTTGCGCTTAATAAAAACAGGATCAGAACGCAGCACATCATATCGGAATGATTTTTATCCTTTTAATTAAAGTTGAAAGCTTACTGCGTGATGGAATGGTAGCATAGCCTTAGAATATTTGTCTATTTTGTCGCTCTATATATTTGCTAACTGATAGTAAGAAATTTGTTGCTTCTTGAATGTTCTTGTTCGACCAAATCAGTGACGTAGTGTATACGCCTTATGATCTGCAGGCGCCTTAGTGTCATGGGGCGGACCTGCTTAAATGCCCTCCCCCCCTTCCAGGTGACTATAAGCAGGAGAATGGTACAGTGCTGAGGCTTAATCCAGTTTAATGGCTGCCATCCGCAGTGTTGTTGTAAAGTAACTTTGCCCTATAGGTTTCGCCATTTATATCCGGTATCAGCAGTTAAAAGATAATTCGTCTATTTCATTTCGTCATTCAACAGGTTTGAAAAGCTATTTTGAACACTGCCTCAGCAGGCTGCGCATTAGCGAAATTACTTCATATGGAAACAGCGTTAAATAAAGTGCATTAAATTTCAGGAGAGATTTCGACGAGCTGATTGTCATAGAAAAGTACTGTTTCGACGTGTTTGTTTCTTAATATGATTTGCTATCAGATGCATTGAATGTAACCGTTTCTTGTACTACAGGTTATCTTTTTCATTGTGGATCGCACAGCTGTTCGTACTTTGTTTGCTGCCCCGTTACTTTTCCCGTGCTCTGGTGTTGGTTGGTGCTACGTTGCTGCTGACGGATGCCGTTTATATGCTTTCCTGTCCAAAAAATTTGGCTGTTCCTTTCCTCGGCTTAGATGGCACGCACAGCAAACTGGAATTCAAATTTGGATGGTGCTTCTGGTTAATTTTAGCCGCAGGTACTCAGCTGACTTATTCACATTTTGACGCCTTTAAGATGAACTTTTACGATGAATACCAAACAGATATGTACACTGGAAATTTGAGACTACGAAACAACCTCATAGCAGGAATTCTTACCATAAAATCATTGAAACGATTACTCATGATAGAACATTACAGAGATCAATTCATAAAATATAATTGGTTTAGTGGCACGAAACGTCTTATGGCAAAATTTGCAGTTTCAATGCTCATGGATCCTGACTAAAACAAACTTGCAGTCATGATGCTGGTAGTTGTATTGGTAATATTCACTCAGAAAGTAGCTCCTTCCGGTTCTAAATGAACTGCGATCAAAATCACCAACAATAAAAACATCAATCTGAAGTATAAAGCTAAATATTAATGTGAAAAACCTCCGTGACATACAGATCAAGACGCTAACAGTGGTTTAGGCACCAGCAAAGCCACTATATCGCGCTGATTAGTTTCTTACATTTGCCGCGTGGTTACGTAGCTATACACAAATTACTCGAACTCTGGCCGTTTGAAAGTTAGACTCAGCTAATTGTTTTGATATATCTTAAATCCCCCTGTTCCAACCAATTTTTGAGCTGTTGCATAACAGATGCTGTCATTAAGTAATTTTGAATGACCTCAATGGAATCGAGATGACAACTATAGGCCAAATAAAGATATCATGTCAATATCATATCAGATAAAATATTAAGCAGATACCATAACCTACCACAGCGTCAAGACGCATCTGGTAATGCTATAGGATTTTGAAGGCTTCTGTAACACGTGTGCGCTAGATTCTACGAAGGCTTGTTTAAGAAAGAATTCAAAACTATCCACACAATCGAATTTAGGGCGATCGTGAACAGTTGCGGGCATCAGTTTGAGACAAAAAATTAACCGGATTAATAAAAGTTTTTACTGTCAGCTGTAACCACTTGCCAAACAGCACTCAAATGGCACGAGCTATACACCTGTAGACAAATTATAGCATGAGAGGTAATTCTCGTTAGGTCAGCAATTCAGGAATTATGAGGATAATCAGGTCGTATAAAATTTATGGGACTGAATTATGGACGTTAATGGGACTCATTCCATGACATGGTTCGTTTTCCATAAATATTTTTCAATGGACGAAGGATAACGTTCAGAATTAAACTGGGATCACGGCGCTATTTTGTGATTAAATATGGGTTGTGACAGGAAGTAATTAAAATGCGAAAGCAACCACTGGTTGTCATGAAAATGAAATCAATCTAATTCTGTTTGGCAGATAGATTTTAATAGTTCTATGTCATTAAGAAACAAAGGGATATTTTTATTACAACACTTTAATAAGTGGAACTAGAAAGTACAGGATATATAAGTAGACTATACTATACTATGACTTTGATGTCATGATTTCTTACTTGCAACTGCTCGACCATTTAGGAATGTCGTGCATCATCCTTGGGGCAGCTATTCGATTTGTTGAACACAAATCAATGTGTCAATTCACTACATTTTTGCAAATTGACTACGATGAAATGTCGACGATATCTGCAGCGGAAAATTCGCCATCTTTGTCAGAAAACCGGAGGGCAGCTTTGGAATTTTTCAAGAAGAGGACGCCGCCAAACATACATCAGAAAGAACAAAAACTTGATAACAGCAGTATAAGAAACAGTTCGACTATAGAATCAATGGCAAGCTCAGATTCGTCACGCCTGTCAGCATCAAGCGAGAAAAAGAAGACACAAGGAAGACCCGATCCTGATGACAACCCACCGCTAACACGGGCAAACGATTCACCATCATATCCTATTTCACTGGTGAACAATAGCAACTTCAATACAAGGAAGACTGAGAGAGTAGCTGTGCTAAAGTGTGAAAATGCGAACTACTTCATCTGAAACGAAAGTATTAGCTATATCAGAGTGACGTGTTCTCAGCCATCGTGCCTTTTTAATTCTCAATGAGAAAGTAAGACTTTGTTAGGTTGTACTGAGTTGCAGTATTTTAAATAAATATGACTTAATCCATTGAAAAAAAGGCTTTTTGCTTAACGAGACAGCAAATGCATATAACTGACTTGTTGCGTCACATCACAACACTCATAATCTTCTTTCGAATAACAGTATGTTAAAACAGTCAAGATTGAACGAGACTAATATGAAATATAGAATAGTTACTTAACAAATAAATATGTTAATCAGCTCAGGAACTTGCTAAATCTGTTCGGCATTTCTTGCATATATAACGGGACAAAGGGTAAAACGATAAAGTTGAGTGACCTATTCTAATGGGCAGTACAGTTCACAAGTTAAAGTCGAATTTTCAATTAAAGGCAATCTACCATAGAAAAGTCATAATCGCACAGATTATTCTAATAGATAATGGATTACGGAGCAATCTTCTTCTTCATCTTCCATCGCCGCTTCTCCTTTCGGGTCGCGGAGGCAGACGCGTCACACAGTGCTTC